TGACATCCTTCTCGAGCCATGCATGCGCATTCAAATCATTTGGTTCAAATCATATGCAACTGATGCCCGAGCATCGCGGTGACTCTCGACTTTGGGTGTGATTTAAAAAGAGAAAACCAAAGACTAGAGAAAACAATTTGACTGACTGACTGACTGAGCTCACACGCTCGATCAATCTCTCGCGCTGCTGCTCACTGCAGCTGCTGCATGCTAGCTGCTGCTGAGAGGGACGCGATCACCGCGCTAGAATTCACACGTGCGCGCGATGATGCCATCCATGAGCGCGCGGTCTAGCTGTCTAGGCTGTTGTGTGTATAGGTACTCATCACACTGTGACTGTATAATAAATAGCGGCGACATCGCCCGTGCACGAGCACGAGCACGAGCACGGCCAGAGGGCTCCGCGCCAAAACTTGCCCTTGTGGGCGTAGACACGTGATCATGTGCACGCTATAGCAGAAAAGTTGACCGCGCGCGCGTCTTGCTTGACACACGATTCATGATTATATGGGCGTAGCTGTGCGTGCGCATCTGCTGATGATTCGGCGCGGCGGGCCTTGACAAAGAAGATTCCGTCCAGCACGACTCTGGCTTATCATCCACTCGTGCCGTATCCTTGCTTGGTTACTGATTCAAGCTTGCGAGAAGGAGATTCACGTGAGTCACAGGGCTTGTGAGAAGGTAGTGAGGGGACAAGCTGCAGGAAAGCAAGTTTGGGAAAGTGCACCAGAAGACAAAGAACAGTCTGACGCGATTCACACTGGCCTTCCGCGATCACACGGACATCAAGTGAAGATGTCCCTGCAAGGTGCAATGTCAAAGGAGCAAAGCAGTCTGTCTTGCAGATCCAAGGAATTCGGCACGAACAGCTCTTCATCCACGTCTGCTGCTTCCAGCTCAAACATATCTTCTCGGCCTACTGAGGATGTAGAAGCTCCTTTCCGGCCGCAATACATTAGCTACTTGTCAGCCGGAGCTTTTGGTCTAGGGATGGGTGTCGCACTCGTCTTGACTCTGAGAAGGGGTCGTCGACTTGAGGCGCAAGAAGCTGCGACTGCTCTTGCTGCTGGCATGACCTCTCCTCTCAACCACTCTGCCGGTCGCACCATTCACAGCACAGCGTCTGCTTCTTTGCGCAACGATGTCAAAGGCAAAGCTAAGCAAGTCGACGTGCTCGATGCTCGAGATTCGACCAACGCGCCAAACAGATCAAGTTCCAACGATTTACCTGAAGGCAAGGGCGCGCTGGCACTCTTTAGCGCTTTTAACAAGGCAGCCTTTATCCCTTCGGCTCGCAAGACTCTGATCGGCACATCACCCGCCAAAGATGCGAGCGTTCCGAGCTCAGTGTTCGATGCGCCAGCAGGCGCTCCGCCGCCTAGCGCGTTGACACGTCGCAAATCCCCAACGAACAGGTCACCGGCAGGGTCCGGGGTCGCATCGAGATCCGTCGTACTGGATGCGCAGCCTATCCCACCCAAGGCTCAGCAGCAGCAAGCCCGAGATGATGGCGCTTCCCCCGTACTCTTGGCGATCAAGGCTTTCGCCTCTGCCACGGCTCTGGTCGGTGCGGCTGCTTGGTTGACCGTAGAGCTAGGCCGACGTGCACTGGGCGTCAAGAATGTGAGTGTAGCCAACTCGCTCACATGCTTCGGCAGCTCTAATTCGCTCAAATTTCACCTTTTGTTACCATCTTGTGGCCCCTCTCCTCAATTGACTAGATGGACGACCTCGTTGTGGTGTTGTCTAGGATATTTCCAAAAGGCAACGCTGCCGTCTTGGCCGGCATGGGCGAAACAGCGAGAGAGTCTCTTTCCGGCTCTGGTCCGGCCGAAATTTACAAGGCCGGCGACATTTTTGTCGAAGACCTTCCTCAGGAGAGCCTCGGCGAGCATGCAGTGCTGGAGCCGTTACCTGTTTCAGAAGCTCTCAGGCGTTTAGACGCAGCCGCGAAGGAGGGCAAAGGCGAGGAGTTCTGGAGTCTGCTCTCGCATCAACTCGGAGCTGAGAGAGTCCGCGAAGTGCAAGAACGCAGAGAAAGGCGAGCTCGGGCGGGATAGCGATACCCCATAGAATAGCAGGGGTCTGCTTGTCGCCCCGATACGCACACTGCTCTGCTCAGCGCGCCGCGAGCGCAGTTCCTTGTATCTTTCTCAGGTCACATTGAAAGCAGCATTGTGGGACATCAAGGGTGCAAGTACAGAGGTGGAACGAGGAGTAGCAGATCTCGTTTGTCCCCTCGCATGGCGCGGATGGGACAAGGTATCAGGCAATATGCGTGACGCGCAGCGCAACTCTCTTTGACTAACGTCGTTGGAACGGCGGAGGACCCAAGCAGGAGGGACCAAGATTGGCGTCCACAAGCGCAAACCTCAGCGCATCTCGTCCGCTTGATCGAATGTTTGCAACTTTTCTTGCAGCCACGCCGTCACGCAAGGAGCCGCCTTGTCGCTCAGCAGCTCGTCGTGGACAAACGGGACATGCTGCACATCCATGAATGACGTTCCGACGAGTTCTGGCTGCGTCCAACCGTTGCACTTGCACAGATGTTGATTCGCTTTGAGCGCTAGCTCAGCGGACGTCGCCTGTCGAGGCGATGCTCCCAGCTCACTAGCTTTGAGCAAGTGCACCGTCACCGAGATATCCTGGTGCTGCGCGAAAGGCGTGGGGTGATGAGAGCGCAGAAGCTGGACCGAAAGGCAGTATTGCTCTACGAGGTGATGCATCGTCTTGCTGTCCTGAAGTGCAGTCGCAGCGCTCTTGTTCACCGCTCGTAGCGCGGATAGGCGCAGTGCAGCAGATACGGGAAGTCTAGCAAGAGACGATTGGGAGTCCGAAGAAGCAGACGTCATCTCCGCATCTCCTCCACCTTGAAGAGCCCGGCCGAGATTTTGGTGAACGGCAAGGCGATGATTGCAAGTGTTTGACAAGGAGTGTCGCAGCGCAGCTTCTTCTTGAGCAAAGCTGGGATGCTGAGAATCTATCATCATTACCGTTGCGCGAGTTTCGTCTGGTGCAAGAGCCTCCCCTTGGCTCAAGCGCTCTACCCACTCGTCGCTGAGCAAAGCTGCCATTTCGCGTGCGCAGACTCCCCCGAAACCCCATCCTCCGACTATCAAGAGCGCAGGGCTACAGTGTCAGCGCTGGCGGGCTCGCACCCTCTCGTGCTAGATGCGACTTACAGATATAAGGACCCTTGGGATACAGCCTGCGAATCTCCCTCAGGTACAACAGTGCAGCCTGCTTGACCGACTTCAGGCGTTTCCCTGCAGACAGCGCGACGTTGGAGAATCCGTACACTGGACGGCCTACAGAGCCGAGGTTCAGATACGCGGTCGCAAAGCCTGCAGCGCCATGGATGAGCCACAACGGTACTGATGATGACTCGCTGTCCGTCGGGCCGGATTGGATTGGGAAGAGCAAGGGAAAATACTGGTTGCGTTGCAAGGCAAGAAGAAGCTTGAGCCCACTACGTACTAGAACAACAGTAGTAGCCACGCAGTATACTCACCTGAAGCGTTTTGCATATGCCGCTCTCGTCTCTGTCAAAGTCGTTCATTTCGACCTCGACTGCCGATCGACGTTCGAAGGCCGTGTAGACAGGCGCTTCGGCCGTATCTACCACATTCGCTTGCGCTGGATCGAAAACCTGACTGAGCCCCGTGTCGAGAAGCATGTTGTCGTCGGGGTCGCAATGCTGAGTGATGCTCTGCGTGCTTGCCGGCTCAGGGCTGACGTCCGTCATGTCATCGGTGGGCTCTCGGGACACTGGATACTCGATGAAGATGTTGAGCTTTCTGGCGCTGCCAAGTTTGGTTCGGCGAGCCAAGATGGACTCGCCGCGATTGCGTCGATACGAATTGCTCATGATTCTACTTGTCATCGTTGGTCTCTCCATCGGTGGTGGGCCGAGGTCTCCAGGTATGATGAGATGGCGCAAAGGAGAAGGAGGCAGACTTCGAGGAGTGTAGGCGCGCTTTTCAGCTGCCAATCTAGTGTGTGAGTCCCAAGGTGGACTGGGCGGCACGCAGTGCACCGCTGCCATGGTGGGCTACAGGATGCAAAAGAGAGTCTTCCACCTCTGCTTGTGGACCGAGATCAGAGAGACCAGCGAGGGCCAAAAGAAGAGCGAGGCACGTCGATCGTCGTGTCGTAGTATGTCCAGCACGCTATGACTTGTGAGAGAATCCGTCTTATCAACCTGCCCATTATCCAAGCGGATGAGGTCCTGGAACTGGAGTCAAAGCAGCGTTGGCGGGTCGCTACCCTGAGCGTCCTCAGAGGCATGCGTTGCTTTTGAGCGAGGCGCAAGTCAATACATCGTAGTCGAGTAACTGCGTGCGTCAACAAGTGAGCGCCTTTGCAACGGACTGGGTTGCAGCCATGGCCTTGTGTCACTGAACGGCGCCTGGCGCGTGGGGTATGAGTGCGAAGCCGTGCTGTTCAACGGCTCCGCTGGTTGCTGCTCCGAAAGGGACATGTGGGTTTCATCCCAAATTTGCGTTGCAACGCCCTGCGCTGCGCCAAATCTGCGCCTAGGCCATCTTACCTGGCACCCATACTTCGGCGAGTGGTGCTGATGATCAAGAAGAATCAATGGTCAGTCACTTGATCTTGTAGTCGACTGCAAAAGCGATGGGGGCCTAAAATAGTTTGCTCGCCGAATGGCAAGCGTGGCAATATCGGTGTGGCGCTGAAGTGCTGCGGTGCATTTTCTTGCGCAGTCGCAATCGCGAATGATACGCCAAATCCGGAGGCAGAGTCGTGAATGCTTCATGTACACAGCGGCAGTGATCCTTGTTTGGGCGGCGGCGGGTTACGATTACGCCATATACTGCTGAGACTGCAATAAAAGATGCACGGCGGTGTGTGCAATTGCAGCCAGGCTATCAGTCGTCATCTACAATTGCTCCTCCAAATCAGGCTTTGGTCACGCCCAGCAACAACAAGTCTTGAGAGAAGACTAGCAAGACAAAGATCACGTCTCGGCCAAGCGCTCCGACGAGTAGCGACGTCGTCCTTTGCCTTCAATCATAGGCATCGTAGAGAGTTGACTGGCAGTGTGACGAGCGAGCTTGGAAGGGAACAGCGCCAAGCCGAGTGTCGCTAAGGTCGAACGTGCCGTGCGCCTGCTAGACCAAGGTCTACCCTAGCCTGAGAAGAATCACGAATGAGCGCAGCGATTTGTGACGCTTGGGCGGGACTGAGGCAAAATATGTTGCGCGACGCCCTATACCACTCTCTTTGCACACTTCGCGCATGGATTCTGAAGGGTCGCGCTGAGCAGTGGCGACACAGCTTAAGCTTTGCTATTTGCCATCCAAAAGATAGAGAGCATAACACAGGCCGCCCACCTTAGACCGTAGTATTTTTCTTTTGTAATCTCGGGTGGTCTCGGCGCCTCGTTCACGTCAGTCGAAGCAAGAACGGGCGCGGCTGGTTGTTTGGCGCACCTTCTCGGAGATTTTGTTGGCTGCCATCCCATCTCCGTACCCAGTCGAGATCGGAACCCAAACATGTCCTCTTCGTCCGCGGAGTGGCAAAGCGATAGATCTCTAGCGTTCGTAGCTGTCTGCTCGCGCTAAGTCAGATGTTGTTCGGTGACGTGCTGCAACCCCTGTGCCACGAGTGGGCGTGCCACCGCCTCTGACGAGAGGGTTCTAGCACTTTGACTCCATTTCAGGAGGCACCCCAACGTCTTTGAGTTCGAAAAGTATCGAGTTGCTGACCTCCTCCTATCTCCCCGAATCGTCATGACCCTGGAACCAGCGCTGGACGCTGAATGTCTGGGTGCCAAAGAAGAGTTTTGCTCGTGTCCGCTCTACTCGGCGCTCTGACGCATTGAACTCGGAATTGAGGCAGAGGAAGTCGTAATTTGGGCTCTCTTGGCGCGACTTGGCGTCTGCTCAATCCCACAACAACCTTAGCGGCCCGCAAGGGCTCAAGTCGTCTTTCGGGTAGTCGACCCTCGGCGGAACAGCAGCGCAGTCCGTCCATTCGTTGCAGGAGCCAAGCGGGCCAGAAGTCGCTGGCAGCGCTCAGAAGCGTTATCAGGGGCTTCTCCACTCCACTTCGTCTTCATGACCCATCACCACTACGACTTCTTCAAGAAGTACTTCCCTCACCGGATGAGGGTTAGCGCGATGGCTGGCCCATCACCACGCTACGTGACCATGAGTCGCAAAGAATTCTTGACCAGTCTCAATCTGCTCGGAGGTCTTCCGTACCCCATCGACAAGCTACCATCCACAATCTTCCTGTTGGTGTACATCGGACTCCTGGTAGCGACGATCTATCGCTTGACTCGACGTCAAAGTCCTGCTAGGTGAGCGCGATCCTTCAGTATTTTCACATGTGGTCATGCTTCTCTCACGTGTTCACTTGTGCCCTGTAGTATCCATGTACGAGTACTGCTTGCGATAGTATGCCGCGCCGTCGCTCTTGGTTGTCGAATCGCTATAGCAGGGGGTCATCGTGGAGCCGATGTCTGGTCCGCTCAAGAAATGATGTGGATATGGAGCCCTTTACTGTTGGTGAGGCTGGCCGTAAAGATCGAGTGGGCGAAATGAGACGATGCCCTCGCTGATTCCCAAATTTAACCTTCCACTCATAGTTTTCGGCGCTGGCATCCTTGACAGAACGT